TGTTATAAATCATAGTGGATTGTCATAACCAGNTCTGGTCCAGTATAGCCCGGTCCGGCCCATCTATACTTAGTCATAGGGTAATTTCCTTTTCTTTTTAGGAAAAGGAAAATAATTTCGTTTTCTCTTAGGAAAAAGAAACTTTCTTTTATCACATGTATTGATCCTTATATAAAGAATACTTGATTAATGAAAGAAAATACGAATTTTCCCATTCTCTTTCTCTCTATTCACAACAAATCTTTATTATTTTTTATTTTTGAAATTTACTACAGTTATCTAATATAGTAGTATTTTTCTTTTTTTGCCGGCTAAACAACATTATTGATATCCAAGACATGTTTACAAAATCATTACAGAACTTACAAAAACAAATTATTACTTTGTATTATACTAGTATTTTTACCTTTTTTTTTTGTCAACGTAAAATCAAAATCAAAAGAGGGAAAATGTACCGTCCAATATGTAAATAGTCTTGGTTGGCTGTCATTATATCTGCTCGGGTAAACCTAAGAAAGCAAATTACAATTCTACGGTTAGTCATTTGCATATATTTTTCTGATAAATTAATATCGTAATAACATGATTTTTTTTTAATTATACTGTTATAGTTATTGTATTTGTTTGCCACGCATTATAAAATCAAAATAAAAAAGGAGAAAACGTACCGTCCAACCGGCCTCAACCGTGTTGACATCATTTGTTTCGTATTCTCCGGACCTGATCCATATCTGTGCCAAACTAAAATCCCCGCCTGACTCTACGATGGGTTTCCAGACGTTTAACGTCGCCTTTGCTCCATAAAGTGGATACCCATACGTGTATGCAATCGCATACTGTGTGGACAAAAGTTATTAGATTTTTAGAAAGAACTCCATAATCAAATAATAACATTTTACAAAAAAGGTTAAGTAATATATATACTACTACTAATTTTAACAATAAAAAGATTTAATAACTCGCCTCATGTCCCTTTGTTGCTCTCTCAGCGGCATCAGAAACTAAAGGGTTCTGTTGTTTTCGATGCGAAATCTCATCTTCAAATCTCCGTATGGGGATTGTTCCATCCGGACACGATGCACCGTTCGCGTGCCAAACTTGCAAACCAAATCCTTCATTTGTTTTCACCATATCCGTTGGCGTCTCCTACATGATAATTCAAAGAGGAATTAGTAGTTACAGTAGTCGGTTGACTAAAAACTATTATAAAATGTATAAAACAATACCTGAAATAAATGATTCTTCAGGAGAGGATGCTTTAAAGCTGGCTGGTCCAACTTGTTGATGCAATCTATAACATCCCCATCTGGACTCTATTATATTTAAAAAAAAAAACAGAAAAACAAATGAGTGTTTATAGTTATCCAAATAAACTGTTTTTTTTTGGGCTTAATAAGTATTCAAATAAACTTGATTTGTAAAATTTTCACGTACGTGAATTGTAGAAACTGGGGCGGCTGCGGTTGCCACTCCAAAGACAGCCAGTAAGAACAATGTGGCAAAGAGCCCTGCGAATGAAAATTACACCAAATGATCATTAGACGCAATAAAACATCACTTTAAAACCAGTTTATATATAATTTCTGAATACCGAATTTTCTAAACTCAAATCTAGTCTAGTGGTCTCAAACTTTAGTCCGTTAAATAAATAATTAAAATCCAATACATAATATTCAATTTTTTTTTTGGGTAAAAGCCAATACAAAATGTTTTGAAGTAAATAATATCTTTGTTTTGATAGCTTATCGTGTGAAAATGGTAAATCTAAATGACAACTTAAAAAACGACTAGTAATCCAGTTTTATCAATCAAGATATCCAGTTATACCAAAAAAATGCATACTTATATAGATGTACAAATTTTAGATCTACCAATTTTAATATCAAGGAATTCGATGATAATCTCTAATTTTTATATGAAGCAGCTAGCAAATACATAGTGTCTACTAAAACCTGAAAAACAGAGAAATTTTTCTTTTACTAAATAAATGATCAAAATTCAGTGATGACATGATCACCTTCTTTGTGACGGAAACACAGTGAGACATGAGCAGGGATATTGGAATGTCGTCTCTTCTCATACCTGATGAAACATTTAAGGTGATAAAGTTTTTAATTAAACATAGATGTTAAAATCTTTTAGGCTCTTAATTACCAAAAACAGAGATATTCACAATCTTTCTTACCTTTGATACTCGTTCAGAAAGTGGAGACATTCCTGCGGACAATGATGGTTCTCTGCATCTTGGCACTATGGCAAGTACCGGCTAAAATACGATCTCTCACGAAAACAGTTCCAGTGAATGGACAGTTTCTTGTCATTAAGGTAACCTCCTGCTCCACACCAAAAGATCAAACACACAAGTCTGAATGATCTCTTCACAAATAATGTAGAGAAAACTGAAGCAAACATATTGTGTGTCTTAGGTTGAAACATCTTTATCACCTTGGAGGTTTCCGTATCTGTAGGAGCAAGAGCAGACAAGAAAATAGCCAAGATTCAAGACTCCTCCTCCTATGACTAAAGTAAAATATTTTACTTTCATTTAATAATAATTCGAAATAAGAAGATTTCGATTAGTGAACCTTCTTTTTCTTTACTCAGAGTTAGGGCTACTAAATATAGACAAAGGGAAACATCTCCATGCAAACAACGTATGCACTCATTTTTTCCTTCTTTCGTTCAATTCCACGTCCGCTGGTGTAACCACTTTTAATCTTTTACAAAGCAAAAAGAATCTTCAACGCAGCAATATAATTGGTCATTATCATGATATTTAGACATATTTTGGGAATATAGGTAATAATTTATACATCCATATGATCTCTTAAGGTTGATTTTATTTTTGAAATAAAAGAAGATTAGATATAGGTGATAGTTTTTTTTTTGGTTGTTTAATTTTGTCAATCAAATAGGTGATATAGTTTCTCCAGTATCCCAATATTTTGTCAAACCAGTACACTAGAAAAACCAAATTAAAGATTGGGTTGGCTGAATATAGCAAATTTGAACTTTCAAGAAATATATAGATATAGATTTCTTTCTCAGAAAAGAGACATATAGATTAGATTGAAAGTGAGAAGTATATAAAAAGTTGAGATCGTAATGGTTTATTATATTAGATTCCTTAGATACGAACTCTTGTGAAAAGTATAATTATAATGGTTGCAGGTACAAACATTAATGAAACATGAAAAATTATATTAAAAAGTAAAAAAACCCATCTTCCTTGCATTATATTCAAAGCCCTTACGCATTATATTCTTTTAATAAAGAACTTTCTATTTAAATGCATTAAAACAGTAGAGCCTGTAGTTTTTAACTTTTGTGGTTTTTTCTAACTTTTCAATAATCGATTTTTATAGATTCCGGTAGCAAAAGAACAAAATGACGATACCATGCTCTAGATAAACTTTGTCAATATATAGAAATATATATAATTTTTCTGTTAAGTATACATTGATACTAAATCCTTCAACGATTAATTCAATATATAGGAAGTAAACATGTTGATAAGAATATATCAACCAGCTACTAGAGATCCTAATCGAGACCATCAAAACGATCTTTTAATGTATTCATGCAATGGCAGTTATGTCATCACAAGAAAATCTTAACCTATATTGCAGATGATCCAACTATCTACAGCTACAGTGCTTCGTTAACAAAAAAAACAAAATTTCCCTTCAAAATCTGAATAGAACCAAACTAGCACAAAGTAGTGTAATTATAGGTTGAATAACCCTTCACTAATAAATACATTGAAAATTCAATATGTTTTTGGGAATGTACAATATTATGTTTATTTAATCATTTTTCTATTCATCAAAAGAATACAATTAAAATCACATTATATCCTCGTTTAGCCGATGAAAAACAAGATTGAGTTTCTCCAAACGTGTTTCTTCCTTTTTTAGCCGTTCCTTATTAGTAAAATTAGGAGATATCTCGGGTTACGCCCGGATTTGTTAATTATAAATTTGTTTTTTATTTTATTATAGTTTGACAAAAATAGCATTGCAGTAGTTTTTTTGGTTTTATGTATTAACAAAGAATTATATTTTTATTCGATATGAAAATATATAATTGATATATAAGTTGATCTTTGAAAATTTAAAATTTGTAATTGATTAATACTTTAGGAGCAAAATTTATTTTAATTGGTAATTGATAAACAGAAACTGAAAATTTATAAAGATTTTTTTTTTTAACTCAAAAATTTATAAATATTGAGAGCAAAAAAGTCACCACACTATCAATGAACCACTTCAAAATATGCTTCAAATTTTTGTGTCATTTTGTTGCATTGTCACATCCTTTATCTTATTTCTGCTATAATTCACTTTTCTCTTCCTCAACTCCACCGCTTCACCCTTCTCCAACGGCGAGCGACCTAAAAATTGGTTTTGTACGGTTTGATTTTTCTGTCATATATCATAAAATTGGTTTTGTACGGCTTGATTTTTCTGTAAGACAATGAGGAACATAAAAGTAAATCATATTCACGTGATGAACCACCTCCACGTTAGACTATTTTTTAAAGGTTTTAGTTTGTCTTTATACCACTTCAAACTAAGCCGTTTTCTTTCCATGCCAGTTCCATAACTCTCTCCAGCTTGTTCCTCTACGTTCTCAAGGTTGTCCTCACTTCTGGNTTTTTCAAAAGAGTATACGTTGAACATGCTCAATCTTCTTCTTCTCCTTCCTCCACGGTTTATCTAGCAAAGAGATGCTTATCTCTATAATTTTCCTCTTTTACATCTTTTTTTCATTGTTTCCAATTTTCTAAAGACTGTCATGTGACTTTAATAAAAATCATTAGATTCATGATATTGATGCAACGAAACATAGAATATATATCTTTCTAAACTCTCGGGTTGTATAAAAAAGAAAAGAAATGAGCAACCTAGAAGGGCAGAGGTAAGATGTATACTTTACTTTAATAATTAACTTCAATATCTCTTAGAAAGGATGAATATACAAAGATCATACCTGCAAAAACAATCAAATTTCAGAAATAAATACCAACTTGAAGAGAATACACAATTTTAGAGATCTTTAATTACATTATAAGACAAAGCCAAATATCTATGGGCTACACCTAATCGCGTCCAAGTTTTTTGCCTTTGTCTTCGAAGCTACCGTAGATAAACATTCAGATTTTGTATTTGCTTTATGTTTGTTTGGTCTTCTCCCTTTTCTCCTCGAAAAACACCGTTTCTGCATATGTAAATAGGGGAAAAATATGAGTAATAGGTTGTTAAAGTGTAAAAAAGTATATAAAAAAGAATCTGAATCATGTTATAGAAATTATAGTAATTGTGTTCATGCAAGCCATTAGATGCCATATGTTTCTCCATGCTTAAATAGACTATATTGTACTCTAGCTTTTTAACTTCTCCCTTCACATTTTAGGAAAAGTAAACAAAAAGATTAGAAGAGGTTGGAATATTCTTT